ATCTATTACTGAACAGACGCACGGCAACATGGAATCTATTTGTTAAACAGACAATGCTAAACCACATTAGATTTGTTTTTTACCACAATATCAACGTCAAAGAAAATGTTTTTTTCAGAGCGTGATCAAGAGCGTGACACATTGAGGCGAGCAGCGTTGTCTGGACTGTTGTTGACAACCCCAAATTAGCCAATCAGATTGCGGGATTAGCAGCAGTTGTGGTAAAAACATCAATTTTAGGTTAAAAATTTTACATTTTACATATTTAAACCATAAGTTCTCTGGAATAATAGCAGAGTACTTGAAAAGTGCCATTCTGGTGCGAGGTAAAGGGGGCGCCTACTTCTCACACCAAATCAAATCAAAAATTATAAATTTAAGTCATACTTACCTAGAGCTACGTGTTGCAGTTCCGTTGTATTTGGGAGTTTGGTGCATACATCCTTGTCCAACATCCTTGCTGGACATCACGGTCACAAGACCTAAACTTGACATGCTCTTACGAAGGTTTTTAGCCACAAACCACAACGCCATTTTAACTCCACAATTGCCAAAATGTAGGTAAATATGGTGACAATACTTTAAACTAGTTTCTAAGAACACTTTCGAAGCAAAATAAACTCAAATTTACCGCCAACCCGACATTATTTATGTTTTCCTCACAGTCAATTCTTCACGCTAGGTTCGGAGTGATCACTGGGAAGACGAAATACTTCTGTGTAGGGGAGGGTGAGTGGGAGGCCTGCAAATCGTGCGAAGTCGATTTTCTTGCGATTCAGTATTTTAAAACCGCAACATACAAAATGTTGTTACGTGTATGACAGTTTGTCATTCAGTGTTATGTCTGTTTAAATAACCGAATTCTACAAGGCGGAAAGCTTGTTCAAAACTATAAATGCCATGATTCCCAGAAAACACCGTAGAAAACCGCAAGAAAAAGTTGATAAGACAAAATACTTGTTATTGCGTTACGATTACTCACGCCAACTGAATTATGACTTTCGGTTTAAATTTAACTAATAAACAACGTGTTTAAAACGGCCATGCTATCCGAATTTCAAATCAGTCAACAGAATTAAACGTGGCTCTGATAAAGTTTAAATAATTTTACGACTAACTGATACGGCAGTGTTATATCGGCTTTAAAACTGAAAAAATGCATACTGATTTCTCAAAATTTATGTGGCATTTTTTCCTTACAGTTTACAATGATAAACAGTCTTTAAGGACAATATATTCGAAAGATAACTGGTTAGCTGTTGTCACTGTTAGTTTATCGATTTACCGCTGTTTTATCACTAATTTATTCCTGCAAATGGTTTCTCAGTTTCTCTATTTGATTTCGTGTTGTTTTAGGATTTTTGTATTTCCTGAAGTATCAAATCATTGTCAACTCTAGAAATAGAAATGATTAATGATCACATTTTTCAGTGATAACAAGGTCGAAGATTTATCATTTAGAAGACACATCTACTCAAGACAGGTTTTGAACCTTGACACTCACATGTTTGCTTAGACCAAAGGCAATAACTTTATCAAAATTGCCGTAAACGAACCTCTAAAAAGTTACACTGGGGCAAATGAGTGAAATTTCACCCCTAGACAACGCGTTCTCCCGACGTCCTTACAAATGAAACCTACTGAGGGCTCCTGTTCTAAGTTCGTCGCGGTGTCCTATCGTTTCAGTGGCGTACCGTTTCATTATGTGATTAATTACGTCAAAACAATGCGTTGAAAATAGCTGAAAATTTCCGATCACTTAGGAGTTGCCCAAAAGACTGAGGTTGTTAATTGGACAGTATCCAAACAAGCATTTCCACCAAAGTGCTTAAAAATCTTGTGAAAATGAGAAGATAATCCCTGTTAAAAGAATTCTGACATTTCTTTATGATAAAACTTGAACGAAGTCTCGAGAAAATTGCTTTGAGTGCCAAATATTCAGTTTGTTTGGCGGGAATTTTCAGAGTTTGTTGAATTAGCTGATAACGTTATGATACAAAGAACTAAGCGCTTTCACTAAAGTCCTTAAGCAAGCGTTGTTTTGTTTTGTTTTGAGAGTTATAAGTTCAGAATATCGCGATCGAGAGGTGTTTCTCCGATATCCGCGGGCTGATATCACTGCATATTTTACAACACCATGAACTAACCTGTTTTTGTACACTAACCTGTTTGTGTACAATAGTCTCTACGAATGCCACGAACGAACAGATAGCCCACTTTTGCAAGAAACATTTCCGAGTCCCCCGTTGAACTCCCCAATAAACTGTAGCATATAACGGTTGCCTCTTTTGTACACTCCAATCAGTATGGCGTGGTTTTGGTGAGAAGTTCTTAAAACAATACTTCGAATGTTGATGAGATTTATTGAGTCTTAGTTGTATATCTTGGGGCTCATAACTCATATGTGACCTTTCAAGTACGTTAAACTTATCGGAAAAACTGAAGAACTCAACTTAGTCTAAATCATAAATCAACACAAAGGTGCCGCAAGCAAGGAAGGACGGTTTTGATTTCGCGCGTCAAGTTGAAATGATTAATGTCCGATGTGTCTGAGAAAGAAAATACCCCTGTGGACAGTTATTAATTGCCGTCTAACCTCTTAGCCTGTGCCTGGTACGCACGCAGGCTTAGCACATATTTATTGCATGCGAAGTCATACGATACAGCACTTATCTACCTCACATATGTTCCCAGTTCATATTCAACAGATTCAACTTGAAAATAAGAGATAAAGCAATGGAAATATGTTAACATGTAAAACAATTTTACCTGGACGGAACGATGGGAGATTCCGAAAAAGTTTCTCTTTTTTCTTCAGATTAGAAAGTATATCAGCGAAAATGTTTTTTCAACGTTTTTTCTAAGAATTGATTGCGCAAAAAACAAGATGACTGTTAAGAGAGAATTAATAAAAAACAACAACAGAATAGATGTAGAACTGTTTAGTTGAACGGAGTAAAAGAAAAATAAAAACTACTAATTATCGACGAAATATTTTCCGATGTTTTTGTTTTCAAACCGTGTTAATTTTCTTGATTCATCCTTGCTTTCTTTTTGCTTTCCTATTTCTTTATTATCTATTCTCGCCTCTTCCTTACCTAAGTGAATACACAGTATGATGTTACTCAATCTTCCTTTGATTTAAAATTGTGTACCCCAAAGAAAAAACAAAAAGTCAAAGAAACATATGAGTAACATCTCGTGACAAATTAAATCAAAAAACTAATCTAGAACTAAATTCGCCAGTTAAATGATATATAAATCGACTGCATGCTCTATATTTACACTGAAGAAAATAATTGCGATACACGATTCAATGAAAAACTGATAAAATAGATAATTGCGATACGCGATTCAATGAAAAACCGAACTGATGGCACAAATCCCCATGTAGCCAATAAGAAGACTCGACAATCTTTGTTTTCCATAAAACCGAATCCTAAAGATACTGTTAATGGTAATCTCGGGCTTCTTCCTCTCTCAAGTGCTAAAACAGCCAGAAACGGAAACGCCAAGGATACAGAAAAAAATTCCTTAATCTGGGATAACGACCACTTCACGATAAGGATTTGAAACTAATATTTACCAACAACGCAATTCCGTTCGGAGGTCATCCCAGAAATTAACCCTACATAAAAACCCAGGCGAAAAAAAAAAACGTTTATAGGTACATGGGCTTGACTTTATAATCCGTTCCTTTTCTACTTGAAAACGCGAAAAACTGAGACATAACATTTTCTTCGCAAAGCTGTAACTATTGTGGACTGGTTTGCAAAATACGGAGTTGCCAGATTTCAGTTTGCTTGAATTAACCTTAACGATCGAACTACAGCTTTTCTTTTTTCTGTGCAGCGAAACAAAAAACATTTCTTGTCAACCTTAATAAAAAAATTGTACTTTAGAACTGATATAACATAATGGATATTTTTAATGGCTTTTCTCGAATGCTTTCGGCTTTCTGAAAATTCCTTTAACTGTCAGTTTAAGGAAGATTTACGATCTGTTACTGAACGTAGAAACACGCTGTTTTGTAGTTACGCAACACTCAAATTTTCAAAGAGGAGTATCGATCTCACATAAATGTACTTCTTAGATCCGTTGAAATTCAGTTTTAGCACAGAAATCTGGGCCGGAAAATTACAATCATGGCGAATTTTCGGTGCCAGTTAAATGTGCAGGTCTACCACTACATGCAAGCTTGTAACAAGCGGAAAGCACGTCCCGTTTTTGGATGTAACACGTCAAAACCACTTACCATTGTTCTCTTAAGCCATTAAGACATTTCTCCGCGCCACCATGGAGCACTTTTACGGTGTTTTTGACAAGCAAATGTCCGCTTGACCGTACTGACCCGCGTTTGAGGCGCTGCAATTTGCTACTTCCAGACAGTGATGGATCATGATGCATCGCTATCCCACACCCGACTCATAGTTTTCAGCGTAAACAATGCGACTCCCTTCCGGTGGTTGGCGCGCTGACCCCTTGAGGGCAACAGATTTGCGGATTTTGAGGATTAGACAAGTAATCATATTACAAAGTGAAGTTAGCACAGTGATATCAGAGCTTGAAATTCCACGCTTCCACGCTTCCACGCGTAATCTCGTAAAGCTCCGAGTTCGTACCCGTGCGCGGAGAAACACTTAGCTAGTCTCCAAGGCCCAAGGAAGCATTTTAGCGAGATGCGTTCAGTAATTTTTCTCGTGTTTATCCTATACTTCACAGCCACAGAGGAAACTATTGCAGGTAAGCCGGCCCTGTAGGGATTATTCACACTTTCTCTATCCGTTTTCAAGGGGTTGGTGTTGTTCCTAAGAGGGAAAATCTGTGAATTCCACGGCTTTCGTAACGCGTTCTGAATGGGCGCATATTCATCTGGAAATGGAAACAGTTGTAAACGAGATTTAGGAAGAAAAGCGCTTGAAGATCTTTGCTTTGTTCAGCGGGGATGCAATTAAGCCTCCGTTATAGCTACCATAAGCCCATTATTGGATGTGGAAGTTCTGTTTAACGCCTCTAAACGGCAGCGAAAAAAAGCGAATCGCGGAAAAATAAGCCCTAAAATTAAAAAGTATCTCGTTCGTGAATGCAGCCATGCGGCATGTGAACTCCGGAAAACCTTGCACAAGTTTTCTTCGGCTAAAGGCAATTCAATTTAACTTTCCGATTAAAGCACCATCACTGGCTACAGCGGAGTGCCAGATAATATTTCGTGATGAAACAACTGAATCAAACGAGTTGAATGGATCACTTCGTTGGACAGAAAAATTTCTCCATTTTTGTGAATTCGCAAATGACGGCTTGTTTAATGTTAGAGAAAGGGATGTGTGCGGTTAACTAAAATATTTGTGGCTCTTAATTCAGGTTCTCCTTGCCAAGACTTAGAAAATCTTATCTTAGTACAGTCAAGTCCTTTTTAGAGTCTCTCAAAAGAATCTGACAATTAACTTCTTTCAGTTTAGGAGTTCTAAAATTTGTTAAGAAATGTTCGTGATAAACACCTTTGCAGGGAAACCATTGTATTTCTGTAACTGACATGTAATGGACACTCGCTTTCTCATTAATGGTTTGCTTTATTATCGCAAGTTACATACTGTGCCTTGAGTTGGCCTGGCTCAGTCCAAAACTGAAGAAAATAACTTACTTAAACAGATCAAAATATATTACACTTCCTGTGTAAACTCTGTACACTTTGAAGCTGAAATCTTTTATGTTACGATCACTGAGATCTGCATTTGGAGCAAGGTAAAAGAGCT